GTCGGAAACAGGCTCCAGGCTCCGAGCCATCAGCCCAGAGCCCGACGCGGGGCTCGAACTCACGGACCGCGAGATCGTGACCTGGCTGAAGTCGGACGCTTAACCGACTGCGCCACCCAGGCGCCCCAGAGGGTTGTTTTTTTTAAGTGTATTTATTTATTTTGAGAGGGACAGAGGCAGTGCGAGTGGGGGAGGGGCAGAGAGAGAGGGAGACAGAGGGTTCGAAGCAGGCTCCACACCATCAGCGCAGAGCCGGACGTGGGGCTCGAACTCACAAACTGTGAGATCACGACCTGAGCCGAAACCAAGAGTTGGACGCTGAACCGACTGAGCCACCCAGGCCCCTGTCCAGGGTTTCAGCTGGAGTTACAGGAGGAACCCTGGGCCAGAGAGGGGAGGCCCCTTCCCTGAGGCCACACAGCAGAGGAGAGGCAGAGCTGGGGTTTGCCTGCAGGGCCCCAGGTCCTATCCCCCAACCCGCATTTCTAGAAGCTCCCGACTTGAGGTATTTTACCAGGCTTCTTCCAGGCTTGGCCTGGACAATGGGCGGTAGGGGCTATACCTGCTCTGCCTTATTTCTCAGGGGCCAGAGCACCCTGGAAATGTGAGAGAGAGGATCCCAACTGAGGGACTGGTGGGCGCTGAATCCCAGCTCTGCCACTAGCAAGCTGTGTACCTCGGGGAAGACCTCAGCCTCTCTGAGCCTCAGTTTCCCTACCTACTAACACCCCGGGCCGGGTCGGGTGCCCCGAGGTGCTGTACTAAAGACGTCTGAAACCTCAGGAGGGAACCAGCACTATACCCACAGAGTGGAAATTCCCGGACTGCAGGCAGCCTCACTGGGGTTGGGAGGTAGGCTACTTACGCAAACTTCGGAAGTTGCGTCCTGGTTCAGATCCTGACCCCACACTTAGCAACCGCGTGACCCTGAGAGTGTCGCTTCCTTTGCTATAGCTTTCCTTAGTGTCCCTCTTGGAAAATGGGGATTCGTTCATTCACTGCACACACTCGTGTCGGTGCTGGAGAAGTTGGATGGGGTCCTTCTCACGGGCCGACCACGGAGCACGGAAGCCAGCCGGCAAAGAAACAGACAGGTAGCACACAGAGTGACAGGAAGGTACACAGAGCAAACTAAAGCAGGGGGAGGGAGAGAGAGCAGGAGGGGCTCTCTGAGACAGGGTGGTCAGGGAGGCCTCTCTGAAGCCGGGACACCGGGGCAGAGGCCTGAAGGGTGTAAGACGAAAGGTCCTGGGGCAGCCGAGCCCGGTCCCTCCCATCACCTTGTAACTATTCCCGGGCCTCGTGCAGCTGAGTCCTCCCTTAGAGCAGGAGCCACGCGGGGCCAGCTCTCCGTCCCGGGCCCCGGCCAGGGGACGACTGAGGGAGCCAGAGACTCTGGCTCTCTCCTTCCTGCCCACTAAGTGTCCAGTCCGTCAGCAAAGCTGCCCGTTCGGGCTCCTGAAGTCTCCCTCGGATCCCGCCCCTTCCTTGGGTCCCTGCTCATTTCCTGCCTGGACCATTGCAGTAGCCTCCAAGCCGGGGCCCCTGCTCCGGCCTCACCCTCCCGGGGCTGTCCCCCACACGGCACCCACATTCATTTCCTCTGGCCACCGTAACAAATTATGACAAGCTTCGCGGCTTAAAACCACACACATGTATTCTCTTACAGTTCTGGAGGTCAGAAGTCTGAAATCTGTCTTGATGGGTTAAAGTCAAGGTGCTGGCAGGGCCGGTTCCTGCTGGAAGCTTCCGGGAGATGATGTTTCCTTGCCTCTCACAGCTTCCCGTGATCACCTGCATTCCGTGGCTTGTGGCCCCTTCCTTAGGTCTGCTAAGTGTGTCCCTCCAGTCTGTTTCTGTCACTCTCTCTCTCTTCTCCCCGCCTTCTCCTCTTCTGTAGTCAAACCTCCCTCCCTCAGCCTCCATTTAAAAAAAATGTGTATTTATTTATTTTTGAGAGAGAGAGAGTGAACGCACAAGCGGCGGAGGGGCAGAGAGAGGGGGAGACACAGAATCCCAAGCAGGCTCCAGGCTCTAGCTGTCGGCACAGAGCCCGACGCGGGGCTCGAACTCATGAACTGGGAGATCATGACCTGCACTGAAGCTGGAAGTCGGACATTTAACCAACCGAGCCCCTCGGGCGCCGCCCCCTCCCCGCCCCCCCCCCCCCCCCGCCCCGACACCAGCTTCCATCTTACAAGGACTCCTCTGATTCTACTGAGCACACTCAGATAATCCAGGGCAATCTCCCACCTCAAGCTCCGTAACTAAGTCACAGCTGTGAAATTCCTTTTTGCCTAAGAAAGTTAACATTCACAGGTTTGGGGGATTAAGATGTGGGCAGCTTTGGGGGACATCATTCAGCTGACCACTGCCTCTAAAGGGATCCTGTTAGAACCTAACCTGTGTCCCTTCTGCTCAAGATACCCCCTTGACACCCCCCCCCGCCCCCCAAGTACATGCAAAGCCCTGACACATCTTCTACCTCATCTCCTTTTCCTCTCCTGCGCCCTCACCTGGCTCCAGCCACAGGCCTCCCTGCTGTGCCTCAACGGTCCATGCAAACGCCTGCCTCAGGGCCTTTGCACACACTGTTGCCTCTACCTAGAACCTTTCACTCTGCCTCTTCCCAAGGCTGGTTCCTTGTCACCCTTCAGGCTTCACCTCCTCAGAAAGCCCCTCTCGGACACCTCTCTGTAACAGCCCTTCCACCTCCTCACAGCCACATTTGCCACCGTCTGAAATGACCCTGGTCTTCTTTCTTGTTTATGGTCCACTTTCCCCCACTAGAGTGTTAGCTCCTGACGACCCAGGAGGGGCTCGTGCTCCTCTGCTGGACCTCGGCACCAAGGACGGGGTCTGGTACACGGTAGGTGCTCAGAAAAGACTTGCTCCGTGAATCCGTGGGTTGCCAATTTCAAATGTCCCTCAACGGTGCTGTGAATAAAATACACATTCATTTAAAGGCATTCTGACCTTCCCAGTGACTTTTTGGTTTGATTTATCTTCCTAGTCAATGATTAAGACACTGCCTTCAGATGTCAAAAGTTGGTGAGGCATCATCTATACTAGGCAAGCAAGGACTCATGAGGGCCCAGAAGAGAGCCAGGGGTCTCCCGAGGACAGGAGCCACCAGGAGCAGCAGTGGCTTCTTCTGATGGAGAGCGGGAGCACGGAGGGGGCCACCTGGGCAAGAGGCGCTTTCTCTCTGTGCCTCAGTTTCTGCCTCTGTAAAATGGAGAGCACAACAGGGCTTACCTTGTGGTGGGGACCTCGGTGCTAGGGACACTTGGGACCAGATAATTCTGTGCTGTTGGAGTTAAGCAGCATCCGTGGGTTCCATCCCACCCACGGCCAGTAGCATCCCCCCAGTCGTGACAGCCCCAAATGTCCCCAGATAGAGCCTAACGTCTCCTGGGGGCCAAGATCGTCCTCGGCTGCCTCCTCGGGCCCTCCTGGGGGTTGAGAGGTGACGTGGGCACAGAGTCTGGCACCGGGCCCGGCGCTCAGCAGCTGCTCGGGGCACGGGAGCTGCTGCTGTCTGGTTAAGAGGGTGGCCAAGCTGGAATCCTGGCTCCACCACTCCTTAGCAGGTGGCCTCGGGCGAGGGACTGCAACCCCTGAGCCCCGTTTCTTCATCTGAAAAATGGGATAATAATAGCACTCCCTTTCTTGGGGCTCCCAGGAGGGTTAAAGACCATGCCCAGCAGACAGTAAGTGCTCAATAAACGGGGACTCTGACAAATAGGGTGAGGGGTGAGGAAAATGAAGACTCTTGGAAAAAGCGGGAGCGAGAGAAAAGGCACTTTGCAAGCTCCTCCTGGCGTCTGTGCCCCTGACTGACGGGCACACAGAGGCACAGCTGCCCACCCCCAGGAGGCCAGCTGGCTCAGCCCCTCAGCCCCGCTGGGCCATTTAATAATTAAGCCGGGAAAGGGGGTGATGAGGCTGGAAGGCCCGCAGTGACCAGGACTGGCCTTGTTTGGCTCTGGTGACGTGATGGCCCTGGGACCATGGCCTTCTTGAGCCCATAAACAGGGGGCTGGGCCCCGAGACAGGCAAGGCCAGGCCAAGGTCTGCGCTGGTGGCCTGCCGCCCGAGTCATGAAGGGGGTGGGAAGAGAGGTGCTCGGCGGCCGCAGCAAAGGGGTCCCCGTGGGAGGAGGGCCGTTTCTCACGGGGTCGCTTCCCTCCCTCCAGCGTCTCTCCTTCCCTGCCCCACCCCCTCTCCTGTCACCCCCACTTTCTTGTGCACTTACTACGCGCAGAGTTCTGCCCAAACACTTTATGCGGATTGGCTCCCCCCACCCCCATCGGGGAGGGCGCGCTGCCCCCTCCACAAGCCAGTAAGGCTCCCACTGCCCAGGTAAGGAGCCAGAGGCTCCAAGGGCTTGAGTCAGCGGGTCTGGAGTCTCCCACGCTAACCTCACGGCCCTGCCCACTGCCCCGCCGCCCCCTTCCCCGTCGTTCCCTCTCTCTGTGTCTCTCTGTCTCTCTGTCTCTGTCTCTGTCCGCGCGTGTGTTTCCTCCTCTCTGTTTCTGTATTTCTCATCTCTGCTTCTCCCCTCGCTCTCTCCCTGTGTTTCTCTCTCTCCTCTTCTCTCCCCGCCTGGCCTGCCTCTCTCTGACCGCCCCGCCTCGCGGCCCTGTCTCCCTGCAGCCAGCACATTATGTCCCTGGTCAGAGCCTGACGTCAGGCAGGGCCTGGCGGGCGGCCACGGGCCGCTGCCGGGCAGGCGGAGGGAGTGCACGCCTTCCCGGTCCCCACTGCGGTGGCCGCCCGCCCGGCTCCCAGCCCCGGGCTGCAGTCCTCCCGGCCTGGCCTCAGCTGGCCCAAGAGCGGAGGCGCTTGGTGGCCACCTGGCCCGAGGGCCTGGGGGGGCTGCGGCCTCTCACATCCCCCTCCTTCACCCAGACCCCACCTGCTCAGTCCCAGGGAGCACTCCTCAACCCGGGGAGGTTCGGAGAGGTGTGAGGGGCGTTTCCGGGTGACAGATGTGGGTGACACAGCTGGGGTTTTAGGGGCAGGGACTTGTCATGGGGGTACAGCCAGGCACGATGAAGGAGTGCCCCGCCTGAAATGTAAACAGTGCCCCTGCCGAGTTGGTCTCAGGCCCCATCAGAGCTTGAATAAGTGGCTTAAAAAATGTAATATTTCTTGTCTGGTTTGTTTGGTTTTCCCCCTCGGATTTTCAAAGCAATGCCATTTCCTTGAAGGACATTTTGAAGGGCATCTGAGCACCCTGGTTTAAAAACAGACTTCGGGGTTAGACCAGCCTCGCCCAGATCCAGCTGTGTGACCTTGGGCCACTGGCTTTACCTGTTGAACCTCGGTGTTCTCATCTATCAAATGGGCATGACAAACATACACCCTCTGCCAATGGCGGGGATGAAGCAAAACCATGTTTACAGAGAACAGTCACCTTTTTCTCTTGTCTCCTTTATTCTTCTAATTTTAAATCTAGGAAATACAGAAAAGGACCGAGAAAAAACAAAACAAGACAAACAAAACAAAAAAAAACCAACGTCACCCAAAGAGAACCACTCTAAGATTTTCGTGGAAATTCAGCTCAGTTAATGTTTTTATATTGAGATCCTGCTACGGCCTGCTTTTTCACTTTTCATGAAAATAGAACCTGACTTGAAGTTTCATTTCAAAAGATCTTGGCTTATTTTATTATCATTTTCAAAAAACATACACAAAAGGTTCCAAGGGCGTCCAGCGAGGAGAGAGGCTCTTTCCCACCTCAGCCCCCGGGTCCCCTTTGCAGAAGCAAACACAGTGGGCAGTTTCTTGTGTGTCCTTCCTTCCTTTCCTGGTGTCAAATCACCTTTAGACCCGTGATTTCTAACCCCTCTCTTCATCTGGGTTTTGTTTGTGTGCTTTAATTTACTCAGTTGCAAAGCATGACGTTACCAAAAAACGGGAACATACAGACCATCAAAAGGAAAGGGAACATAAGGAAAGAGAATTACCTGAAATCTTACGACTCCTTCGACATTCTGGAGTCTACCCTCGCAGGCTTCTTCTATTCCTTGACGTCTGGGCACCAGGCATCTTTTCTTCTTAGCGCTGACCCACGTTGGTGATGATGTATTTGTGTACTGATCTGATGACCCTCTGCCTTCCCCCTGTGTCGTGAGTTCCAGGAGACAGGGCCGGGCATGCCTGGGTCCCCCACACCCAGTGGAGTGCTGGTACACAGCAGGCCTGTAGTGGACAATTTCCAAATGAGTGAATGAATGAGTTTACAAAAGGGATTGTACAATATAGGACACTACCCCGTGACCTCTTTACTTACTTACTTCTTTATTTCTTTATTTATTTTACTTAACCTACTGGGTACATCTTCCCACATCTCCAGCTAGACAGCAAATCTCCATTTTTCATGTCTACACGGAGACACCACAATAAACATCTTTTTGATGCTGGCCAGAAGCTTCTGCCCCTAACTGGGAAATTCTTTTTCAAAAGCAGATTGGTTAACAAATTCCATATGATCCTCCTGTGCCCCAGCCCTTCGGCCATTTACTTTCAGCCTGACACTTCACTGGTTTTGTGGGCCCATTGTTTTCTGGGACAAGTCAAGATTTACTGTCTGCCCCCGACATCATGTTTTTCCAGAGAGGCTTAGGAGTCAAGAACTCATCCCACCCCCACCCCACTGTTTCCGACCGTTAAGGGCTCTGTGGATTTGTTGAAGTTGGGAAATGGTGTAACCCTTGCCTCCCTGGCTGTCTCGTTGCAAATAGCACACACGTCGCTCATTCGTACCTCAGGGCCTTTGCACCGGGTGTTCCCTTGCTTCCCACGGATATTTACTCAGCTTACCTACTTCAGGCCTCTGATCAAGTGTCACCTTCTCAGAGAGTACTTGTGCAACCATTTTTTTCTAAATTAGCATCTCTTATCCAGTTTTACACTTCTTCATAAAACATTTATCAGTATCTGGTATCCTATCCTATCCTATAAAGTTATCTCAGTATTTTGGGGTTTTCTTATTCACTGTTCATCTCCCCCACTTTGAGGGAAGGAACTTAGTTTTCCTTCTCTCCTACAGTATCCCCAAGACCTAAAACAGGGCACGAGCCTTGTAGGCGCTCAGGAAATACTGGCCGCATCAGTAAATGTTAATTTCCGGATTCCAAGCTTCCTTCCGAGGCTGAAGATTGATGGCCATCATTCATTCATTCATTCATTCATTCATTCAAGGTATGTCTCTTGAGCACCTAGTGTGTGCCAGGGCCTGTCTGGGTGCTGGGAGTACTACACTGGGTAAGGCAGACGGGCCCTCCTCTTGAGGGATGTGCTCAGTGGTCTGGGAGATGTACTTACATCAGGTAATGACATCCAGGTGGACTTGTGGGTAACGGGCCGAGGGGCGAGAACCAGGCTTGCGTTCTGATAGACGTGGGCCCCCGGCTCTGACGCATCCCTTGCAGAGCTGGGTAAACTGCCAGGGTGACACCAGTGGTCCTTTTCAGTTCTGCCTGCTGTCCTTTCGGGATAAGAGGAGGACAAATCAAAAGTGATGGCAGAAGGCTTTCCGTACTCCTCCCCAGCCTGGCAGGTCTTTGCCTAGTGAGCTCAGCTTCGCCCTGCTTTCTGGCCACGCCTCACCTTGCGTACCCGCTTCGGGGAAACTCCTTCCCTAGTGGCCACACTCCCGGAGGGAGATGCCAGAAAACTCACTTTCCCAGCCTCCCTTGCAACTTGGGGCAGGCGTGGGGTTTGGGCTTCACCAGGGAGACAGGCCTCCTTGAGATGTGCCATTAGAAGAGATGGGCGGGGGGCGCCTCGGTGGCTCAGGTAGTTAAGCGTCTGACTTCAGCTCAGGTCACGATGTCACGGTTCCCGAGTTCGAGCCCCGTGTCAGGCTCTCTGCTGTCGGTGCAGAGCCTGCTTCGGATTCTGGGTCCCCCTCTTCCTCTGCCCCTCCCCCCGCTCATACTCTCCCTCTCTTTCTCTCATAAATAAATAAATGAACATTAAAAACAGACGAGAAGGACAGGAGGGGAGGTGTGGAGGAGAACGCACCGTGCTTCTAGCAGATGCAGTGGGAGGGTCCTCAGCAACAAAGCAGGCTCCCTGGGCAGCTCGTACCTGGCTGTGTAGCCTGCCGTCCTGACTCGGGGGCCCACCTGGGATAATGGCTATGAGTAGCAGGAAGTCAGAAACTACCTAAATGCTCGACGACCAGGGAACGGTTGAGCTAATTAGGTGGTAATTCCTAAAAGAATTAGAGACCACTCCTCCAGCAAAATATTAGTGCAATACTCAGGATTAGGTTCCTCTTTGAGCAGCTAAAAGCCCAAGATGCCAGGGGCTTAGGTGAAACAGAAGTTTGTTTCTCCCTTATATAAAAGAAGTGTGGAGGCGGCAGTCCAGGGCTGGTAGGGTGTCGTCATAAATTCATCAGGGATTCGCATGTCTTTTCTCTTGTTGCGCCACCATGGCCCAAGATGGCCACTCAGATGCTGGCCATCACATCTGCATTCCAGGCAGCAAGGAGGCTAGGAAGAAGCGCAGGCACCCTCGCTCTGAAGACACTACTTAGAGGTTACTTATGTCTCATTGGCCAGAACTGAGTCACATGGACACAGCTGGGAAACGTAGTTTGTTTTTTTTTTTTTTTCTTCTGGGTGGCCACGTGCCCAGCTAAAACTTGAGATTTCTATTATGAAAGAAGAGGGAGAGGTCAGGGGGAATGGAGGAGAAACTGGGGTCTCTGCCACAATCGGCAACAATTACAAACAGCGTCCAAGAGGATTTTGTAACAACACGAAAAAAACCCCAGCTTCCTAGTTTGGGGAATGCAGGACTCGCAGTTGTATATATCGTGAGACTGCAACTTTGTGACAAAACTTCAAAACAGAGGGAGCTACTCAGAGGAAGAAGCTGCTAAAAGGTGGGCCTCTGTGGGAAGTCCGGTGGGACATTTTATTTTTTTCTTTGTATTCTGCATTTTCCAGGCCGTGGATAATTGAGCAAATTTAACTTCCAATATGCTCCAGCCGGTATTCGTGCCCCGCAAGTCTGTTCTCGAACGTGCCAAGGCAGCCAGATGGGAAAAGCAGCAATGAGACGACATCCAGTCCCAGACGACATGATTGGGACCGGGGAAACGCCCAAGGAACCCGCAAAAATTGGCTCGGAAGAGAGGGGCCTGGGACTTGTCACAGGTTCAGATCACAGCGCTCCTGGAGTGTCCGCGCCCCGACCTTGGCCAAACCGCTAATCTCACCTCTGCACAGTGAAACTGTCTCCAGCTGGGAGGGGCTGCAGGAGGAGGCGGCTTCCCTGAAGTGTGTGCACCAGGGCCCTGCACAGAGCCAGCTGTGGAGCCCAGCTTCTCAGCCAGGGGAGGGGTTTCGCCCCCCAGGGGACACGTGGCAACCGGGACGGGGGGCTGTGCTACCGATCCCAGGGATGCTAACAGTCTACAATGCGCGCGCGGGTCAGACTCCCGCCGCCGCAAAGAGTGATCCGGTCCCAGTGTCAATAGTTCTGAGTTGAGAAATCCTGCTGTAAACACACATCAGCTGTTACCGTTATCAGGCTTGTTTCCTGGCTTTCGCTGTCGTGAGCTGCACGGCAGGGGTCAGCGGTGTCGCATACCTGTGGACACGCGTGTTTGTGCGGGACGGGTTTCTGGCTCTGCACCCGCACGCTGTGGCCTCCGACTGTCCCCGAGGGGTCTTCTGCAGCGCATCTCAAGCTCTGTGCTAGGAAGCCGGGGACTTGTCTCTCCCCCGGGGAGCTGGGAGAAGGAGCAGGGTGGCCCCCGGCCCTCAGTCCGGGGACTAACAGCGTGGCCGCTGCTGGTACCTGTGGGATTTGCAGGAGTGTCCCCCTCCTGAAACCCGGGGGGCGGGGCAGGGAGTGCTACCCCCTCCGTGTCAGAGATGAGGAGGCAGGCCACAAGGCGGTGCAGGCGTCGGCTGGCCCCAAAGCCAGCACACTCTTCCCAGAACTCACTGCCCCGCTCAGGGGTTCTCCACCTGGCCACTTAATCAGAATCACCTGGGGAGCGCTGGCCCGGTGAGGCCAAGCTTGGTTCTGGAACCAAACACATCTTGACTTGAACCTTGGCTCTTCCTCCTCCTGGCTGTGGGACCTGGGGTCAGCGGCTGCCTCTCTGAGCCTCAGGTTTGTCCGCTAAAAAAGAAAGATTAATATTAGTGACTAGCTCAGAGGGTGGCTGGGAGGTTCAGTGAAATGCCCTACATCATAGGCTGCCCATGGGGCCAGGTATACAGTAAGCACTCATTAAGTGTTGGCTTTGATTTTTATTTTTGGAGCAGGGCTGGGGCACGTGTGTGTGTGTGGGGGGGGGGGGAGGCATTTAAGCTCCTCAATTGATTCTAATGTGTCCAGCTAGTCATCCATCCATCCATCCGTCCATCCATCCATCCATCCATCCATCATCCATCCATCCAATCATCTATCCATTTAGTTACTCAACCATTTATTTAACACAAACTATGTGCCTGACTGGGCCCTGAGGACACGGAAGTGATCAAGATAAAGGCCTGCCGCTCACGGAGTTGACAATCATCAGTGCTGGGAGAACAGACTAGAAAATAAGTGACAATAAGGGAGTGAAGTCACGGACTATAAACCGTTGGACACATAAGTAGGTAGGACGGTGCCATCGCGGGGGACGATGGAATGACGCTTCTCCTCCAGATGGGGTGAGAAGCGGATCTCTCCCGCCTGCAGTTCCAGACCTCCCTCCACCCTGCTCTGTGTCTCAGAGCAGATCTGGGGGGACAGCACCCACCTTAGGAGCCCGCGCTTCCCCGAGGTAGATGCCAGAAAACGCATTTTCTCAGCCTCTCTCGCTGGATGCAGGCGCGACAGCTGTGTTTGAGCGACAGCCAGGAGGCCGGAGAGGTAGGGGTGGGAACTGAGGTTCGGACAGGGCAAGGGGGTCGTGTGAGACCAGGTAGCTGGGGAGCGGGGGAGGCGGGATTTGAACCCAAGTATACTGGGCGTCTCAGTCTGATCCCCTCACTGTGGGCGACTGCATTGAGTTGACGGGAAGATAAGGGAAAGTTGAGAAGTTCAGCCAGCGTCACGCACCGAGGCCCGGCTTCCTGTTGACCAGTCACCTACTGCAGTCCAGGCCTGACTCATAAGCACGGGCTCACCGCAACCCTACAAAGCAGGGCGAGCAAACCAGGATTCAGAAAAGTCAGGCAAGTCACCTGAAGTCACACAGCAAAGGAGTCAGTAGACCCCATTTACCACAAGAGGACCCACTGACGGGGCGTATGTCTGACTCGCTGACCACACTGGGAGCAGCCCAGGGTCAGAGTCCACATCGGAAACTTCTTTCCACTTCCAGACCAAACCCGGGGGCGCTACCTACGGCAGGCTTTCAAGAAGTAACGGGAACGTGCAAGAAAGCATGGCCAACTTACAGGGATTCGCTTGCACGTTTCAGAGGCTCAGAGGTTCCTTCTTCTCCCGTCTTTTCTCGTCAATACCTTTCACTTGGAAACTCTAGCTGAGTCACTCTCTGGATCCATTTTAGCTCTTCTAAAATGGCGGCTTGGTGCGTGCGTGGAGGGGGCAGGGCGTAGAAAGCACCATTTCCCACACTCTCAACCTGGACGCTAGTCTATCCACACATCTTCCATTTCTCCATTTATCTACCTGCCGCCCATCCACCCACCCACACTTCCATGCACCTATCCCATTCATCACCCCAGGCAGCCTTCCATTCTTCCATTGATCAGTAAATCCAATCCCCACCAGCCCATCCCTCCCTCCCTCCATCCATCTACAAACACCCACCGAGCATCTCCCTCGGGCTAAGCCCTAGGCTGGGCTCAGAGGCACTAGAAATCAGATTTGCTCCTTGACCTCCTGGAGCTCCCAGCGCAAGAGGCAGTTCTGATGGATGGGAGGAAGGGCTTGTTCATTCATTTGTTCCACACCCGTTCCCTGCTGCCTCTTACGTGTCAAGCGGTGTTAGACCCTGGGGAACAAAGATAAAGGAGACGGGCCTTGGGCTCCCATCCTAGTGGAGAGACAGTAAATATGTGCCTAGACAGGAAGTGCTTATTCAATAACAGTTTTGTTCGTCTGCACATGTTTGCTGATGCCTCCCACATGGCAGACCTTGGCTTTGGGGATATCGAGATACAGAAGCTTTATTTGTCTTGTCCACTAGGGGCACGGTCCAGTAGAGAGTTTCCACGGGCTGTGATGTAAGCTGCTTTCAGGGTGTGAGGAGGAACCCAAAGAAGCAAGGACGTGGCCTGGGGGGCTTCCTGGAGGGGGGGAAGTGGGTCCTGGTCTGAGCCTCAAGGATCAGCTGGGGTCTACCAGTTTGCCCCGCTCCCTGGGATCCCCGCAGGCTTCTTTCTCCCCTTCTGCAGAAGGTGAAGGTCAGACTCAGGGGCCCCCGCAGACCCCCTCCCTCCCACCCGGGCAGCCCCCCTGTTTTTTATTTAAAAATTTTTTTAATGTTTATTTACTTTTTGAGAGAGAGACAGAGACAGACAGAGCATGAGCAGGGGAGGGGCAGAGAGAAAGGGAGACACAGAATCCCAAGCAGGCTCCAGGCTCTGAGCTGTCAGCACAGAGCCCGACACGGGGCTCGAACCCACAGACTGTGTGATCGTGACCTGAGCCGAAGCCAGACGCTTAACCGACTGAGTCAGCCAGGCGCCTCTCGGGCAGCCCTTCTGAGGCTAGGACTCAGACCCTGTCTCAGGACAAGGCCCTGGACAGCTAGCCGGACGAACCTTGGAGACGGTCCCGCAGTGACCAAGGTCCACTGGTGACATTGAGGTTGTTTGTACGAATGTGCCCCATTCTCCTAGGGACTCTTGTTTACAGAAAAAACCAACTCTGCTGACATGACTGATGGTGTGGTGTGAAGGGGTGGCTGAGAGTGTCCAGCCGTGCACGGTGCCCTGGGGAACCAGAGACACTGGTGCCAGGGGGAGGGGAGGGGCAGAGGTGAGGCTGGACTTGGGAGGCAGGGGCCAGATCACGCGGGACCTCACAGGCCTTAGGAAGGGCTCAGGGTTTGATGTGAATGGTCGCGGGGAGAATTTGAGCTGGATTCCAGTGGGTTAAAACATAAGCATCGAAACCTCCAGATAACGAGTCTAGTGATTAACTCATTTGCTCATTCATTCACCCAAGCGGTATCTGAATACCTACTCAGTTCCAAGCACCGTTCCAGGCACTGGGGAATCAAGGGTGAACAGAGCAGCCACAGGCCTTGCCTTCTTGGGACCAGAGGGGACACAGACCCTGAATCAAGTGGCCACACAATGAAGTGCAGACAGTGAGGAGTGCTATCAGGGACGGCTTCTTCCGGGTGACACACGAGAAGCTGGCTTAATACTTGATTCAGCCAAAGTGTCAGGTGCTGTGCTGGGTGAGCAAGGAAGACGGAGTCCCTGCCCTCCAGGAGCTGGCGTTCCAGTGAGACAGACACACCCATAAACAAACAACAGCAACTGGGGGCAGAAACAGGGAGGACTTCCTGGAGGAAGGGGGATGAACAGCAGTTAGTTAGGTGAGGGACTGTGAATGGGGGTGAGGGAGGGACGGGTAGGGTGTCTCTCCAGTGACCTGCTGGCCTCAGGGGGCAGGGGGAGGTGGGAGAAGATGCCACGGCTTTGGGGGGAGGTCGTGACTCAGTGGATCGGGGGCCAAGGCCACAGGGAGACGCAGGGTATTCTCTGGGGCAACCTGTCTCTCCATCTCCGTCCCTGTCTCCTCGTTCTGTTTCTCTCATTATCTGTCTGTCTTTCACGGGCAGATACTAACTGGTCTTGGGAATCTCTCAGTGTCTCTTGGCCCGTTTCTCTTTTTTTTCTACACTCGGGTCATCTTCGTGAGATGTCAGTAAGAGACAAGGATGCTGGGAAAAACCCCGAGCGGGTGGGCAGGAAGCGAGGTCAGGGGCACAAGGACAGCTGAGCACAGGGACAGGCGGTGACTGAATGTTCTGTTTTGGAAAGACGGCTCTGGTCAGGGGCGAAGGTGGCTGACCACGAAACCCGATAACCTGGCCAAACACTGCTGCAGCCAGCCCTCTGGCCACAAGCCCCGTGACCAGTGGGTGCCGTGCAGAATTTTCCCGGAGGGAGGGGCAGAAGGGGCTTGTCCTCGGCAAGTGGGCCCAACACAAAGGGATGGAAATGAGGGAAGAGCGAATTCTCCAGCGAGACCTCAGTGCGGCTTGTCTCTCTCTACACGCTCTTCGAAAAGGGTCAACGCATCCCGAGGCCCTTACTGTGTGCCAGGCATTTAGTCCCCGCTCACTGTCTCCAGCGGAGCATTCTGGTTCAAGACCATGGACTCTGGAGCCAGACCACCTGAGTCTGAACGCTGGTTTTGCAAACTCCTCGCCCTGTGACCCTGCGTAAGTTACTGAGCCTCTTTCTTCACGTGTGAACCGGGGAGAAAATAGCACCTGTCTCATACGTTCGAGGTCAAGTTTAATATTAGTTCATACGTGTAACAAAGTAAGTGCTCAACAAAATGCAAGCTGTTAGCATTTCAGCCTTGTGATTGCAGAGCTCACGCTAAGGGGGCAGAGGGAGTCACGTTCAAACCCCTGCTTCACCACTTCTTAGCTCTGTGACCTTGGTTATGGCTCATAACCTCTCTGGCCCTCTCTTTGCTTACCTGTTAAGGGAGGATGATCTTAGTTCGCACCTCAGCAGGTGGTTGAGAGGGTCTGTGTACCTGCAGAATAGACGGGAAGCACTCACTCCACAGGCGAACGTAAGTCCCAAAGAAGTTCATTCTTTTCCTCCATGTGTCCAGCAGGCTCCAGGGCCCCCGAGCACCTACGATGTGCTGGGTCCTGCACTCTTTCTGTCCTGGAAGGCAGCAGTGGGCAGCTGGAGAGGGAGCGAGCCCTCCTGGTGCACAACTTTAGACCTAACAACAGCCTTCCGGTGCAGGCAATATCAACCCATTTCACAGAGGTGGAAACTGAGGTCTGGAGAGGTAAGTCAGCTGCCAAGGCCAGAGGTTTGTGAATATGGGCTCCTTGGAGCTGCTTCTGACCCAAACTCCTGTGACAACCCCACCCACCACGTCCTCTGTCATCACAGGCAACTAGGACCTGAACCTCTCTCACACACTTGGCTGTGTCCCCTGCCTTGGAATCTCCAGCTGGCCCAGAGCTCACCTCAGAAATGTTGGGTGTACCAGACAGAAACTGCAAACCCGAAGGGTTGTGCTGTCCCCAAATTAACCTTCCCCATCCCTGGCTTCCTTATCCTATGCCCGCCAGCTGGAGGAAATCGATGTGGCCATCAAGTCCCTGAGCACTCCCCTCACCACCAAGGCAAGAGGCAGGTGACATGTGCAGAAAGGGACAGAAAGGGGTCTCGGGGCCCAGAGCCCCAGGTGCTCATGCCTGGCCGTGTGGCTTTGGACATGGCGCTTCCTCTCTCTGAACCTCAGTTTCCTTGTCTATAAAATGGGCACATAGAATCCACCCCTTCGGCTGATATGCAGAACAGAGACAGCATGGGGACAGCATGAGGCACGGGGCAGGTGCCCAGAACATGACGACCATCCTTACTACGTGGAAGGGGTGGCTGAAACTCTTTCCCCCAACCCGAGTCCCTCAAGCCCAGTTTGGCTTCTTACCGTCAGTGGTGAGCTCCTCATGAGACAGTAGAGTGGTTAAAAGCACGAGCCTTGGACTTGACTGCCTGGGGTCAAATCCTGCCTTTGCAGCTTGCCTCCTGTGTGATCCCAGGCAAGTGATTTCACCTCGATGGGCCTCAGTTTCCCCATCCATGAATAGATGTGATAACAGTTCTCATCTTTCTGCGATGTTGTGATGATCGAATGGGTTCGCGGAGGTCAAGGCTGGGACCCTGCCAGGCACACAACGAGAGCCATGGAAGGGTTTGCTGCTCTTCAGACACTGAAGGGAGAATCGATCTGGTGGGTTCTGCACAATTTACAAAGCACTTGGGGCCAGGGATGGAGTAGGGAGCTGGAGGAGAATCCTGATCCGAACCAGGAGGTTCGGATTTTACGAAGCAAGGTCCATCGTATCGGGGAAGGGCTCTGTGCAGGTCCCTGTGGCCCGGGGAAGGGCTGCCCCACACCCATCCTCCCGTGGGTGCCCGTGTTTGGGCACCTCCGTAAGGCGGCAGGATCACCCTTCTAGTTGCTCGGCCTGGAACCCTAGACTTGTCTCCGATTTCTTCATTTCTGTCACTTCTGCTGGAACAGCATGTCCTGTCAGGGCTACTTTCTGAACAAATTCAGAATCTGAGGCCAGGAACTCCCCCACGCCCGCCCACCTCCACAGCCACACCCTGGGCCCATTGCCGTCTCCTAAAGCCCGGACCATTGCAGTCGCCTCCTTCATGATTGTCCCCCTTCCCTCCACGTCCCTGACGGTCCATTCTCCACATGAAGCCAGAGGGGTTCTTTTAGAATCTGGAACCTAGATCGTGCCCTCCTCCGTTCAGGACCCTCCATAGTTCCCACGTACCCCAGAGAAAAGCCCGAGTCCCTCCAATGATATGCAGGGCTCTGCACAACCCGGCCCCTCGTCTCTCTGCCCTCACCGCCTCCCACGCCACCCCAGCCACACTGGCCTTCCCCGCATCCTCGCACATGCCAGGCACGATCCGGCCTCAGGGCCTTTGCACCTGCTGTTTCTTCTGCCAGGAACACTCTTCTTACAGATATCCTCCCCGCTTAACCCCGCTTCATTTCAAGACTATCTTCAAATACCTGCTCAGTAAGGCCTCCCCTGGTCCTGCTCCTGCTTCGGGATTGGTACCCGTCTGAGGCTGTCCACAACCCTTCCCTGCTTTACTTTCTCTCTTTAGCACTTATCACCACCTGAGACACAATATAGTTAATTTACCCATTAACGTTTTGTTTTAATGTTTATTTTATTTTTGAGAAAGAGAGAGAGAGAGAGAGAGAGACTGTGTGAGCAGGGAAGGGGCAGAGAGAGGGAGACGAAGAATCCCAAGCAGGCTCTGCCTCTCAGCCCAGAGCCCTGACAAGGGCTCGAACTCAACGAACTGTGAGGTCGTGACCTGAGCCGAAATTAGGAGTCGTTGGCTCAACCGACTGAGCCACTCAGGTGCCCCCTTACCCATTAACGTTTATCCCCTCTCCACCTCCACCTCCAGAACGTGCGCTTTGTTCACTGTCGCACCCTGGCACAGACGGGTGATCAATAAACACAAGCGAGCGTGTTACCTTCGCCGCTGCCCGGGGTGGGGGTGGGGGTGGGGCGCAAGGGGGCAGCTGGGACCAGAGGAGGCTGGTCTGAGAGCCTGGAAGGATGGAGTGACGTGGGGAACGGGTGGGAGGAGCAGGTTTTGATTCGGGACGTGTCAGACAGGAGATGCCGCTCAGGGTTCACTAAGGCCCGGCCACCGTTTCAGGGCCTCGGGACCCAGCAGAGTGAAACACTGAGCCCCTGATGTGGCACCTTCTCGTGAATCTGAAGGCTGGAGCTGCCGTGAACTTACCAGGAAGCCTTGAACCAGTGCAAGGCATCACTCCCCGGCCTCGGTTTTCCCATCTGTCAATGGGATGACAGTCCATCCCTCCCGAGGCTATGGTGAAACTCAGTGATCTAATGCCTCTGAGGCGCCTGGCACCCGGTGGGCACTTGACCAGAGCTCATTTGTCCCCTGTCCAGCCCCCACGCTGGCTGTCCCCCAGGGGACTGTGCCGCGAGCATTATTTTTAACCGTGGCTCCAGCGAGCTGGGCAGTGGCTCTGAAGGCCGCGGGAAGACCACAGGGTGAGCAACATCCCGGCTCCCTCGATGCCAGGAGGTCGTGGCGTGGAAACATCAGGGGAGGCCACCCTGTATCCCTGCCCGGTAACCCTTCTGCGAAATTCTGTCACCCGGTGCTGCTTATAAACAGCACTGACCTGTCCCGAGCAGGGTGCCGGGGGAGGGGGCCCCGGCCCAGTCTCCCCGCCCTTCACCCCGATTCTGAGTGGGCGGGGGCCCCTCCCATTAGCCCTCATTCACAGAGCAAAGTCGGGGCAGCTGGCCTCTGGCCAGACATTGCCTGCTTATTTCAACACCTCTGAGCATTTTGCAGCTGACCAGCCCTGGGGTATTTTTAAACGCTGGCCTCGGCCAACCTCTTTGTCACATTCCGGTCGGGGCTTGGATTCAGTGCATGTCCCAGTTAGGGGAGCTGGGGGAAGGGGGGTGGGGAGTGGCGGGAGGGATTCGTTGACAAACATTTAATGAAATTCCAGGACCTGCGGTCCTACTGTGCGCTGGGCCCCATAGCGGCTTGCTCTGGACGTGGCCCTAGTCTGGCGGGACACTGTGAGAGGCGCAATCTACAAGGCCCAGTGGGTTATGTAAATGAGCGAAGGGGCCCAGGGAGAGGTGACAGGAAGGGGTGGGGACTGTGGTGGACCCCTCTGGGGGGGGGGGGCCGCTGTTCCTCAGCTGTGGCCTCTGTCCTCACAAGAGAATCGGGACCAATGTGCCCAGAGCGTCTGACTTTTCAAAAGAAGCTGCAAATCCAGGTTTATGTGGAATTTCCTGCAAACATTTCTTGACTTTTAAATGTTGGCAACAATTTTTTTTTTTTTTTTTTTTTTTGTAACGTTGAAAACATTCTGAGAGCCAAATGAAACCCGTTTGTGGGCCGGACTCAGCCTACAAGAGTCAAGTCCACGGAGGCAAACAGTTTGCGTTTTCTGATGCAAACAGATGCATTAGAAAATGCTCAACAAACCCAGGCTGAGCACCAGCTAGGAGTTCTTTCTACTGTTCTAGGCCCCGGAGAAACAGCAGGGAACAGGATGGAAAACATCCCCGTCCTCGCAGCTTAGATCTGAAGCCAGCCTGGGTTGGCTTGTGACTTCTGCAAGCTGGTCGTTAGGCGCAGCCATCGCCGACAATTCAACGATACGCACTTAGGGTCAAATAAGTCAGAATCGAAAACAAAGGTAACAGCCCCTCAAACTCATCACTCTCTAATTATTTCACTCTTCTCCACATTCCCAAGACTATTCACATCTATTGTATCATGTCACGCTGTACGATATTATGATATTATACGATGGAAATAGTACGTAATGCACAGAGGCCACCACACATCTCTTCTCACCCCCCAGTTGTGTGAATTCCTGTTGAAATTGGTCGCGGTGGGAGTATTTACACCACAAAAACTGGCAAGTGTAAAACCAGAGCTCCCCCTTGCCTGTTGCGGTAAACATTTAGCAGCAAACCAGATTAAGACAGATACACTGATAATATGTAAAGTGTCAGACGATAATACCTACAATGAAGGCAAATGAAGTATACAGAGGGTTAGATGGTGATGGAGGGGAGTATTTTAGACAGACAGGCCATGAGGAGATGATATTTGAGCAGAGACCTGAATAAAGTAAGAGAATGAGTCACACAGATATCTGGCAGAAGGAGGTTCAGGCAAAAGGAACAGCAGGTTTCTGCCTGGGGACAGGTACAAGCTTGCTAGCTGAGCACAGGGAGGAGGCAAGTGTGGCAGGACCAGAGGGAGGGAGGGAAGGGGGCAGGGAGGGAGGGAGGGAGGGTTGGAGATGAAGCTGGGGAGGTAGGCAAAGGTCAAATCATACAAGGTCTTAGAGGCCACGGTGAGGAGGGTGATTTTTGCTTTAAGGGAGATGGGAGTCCTAGAGGGTCTTGAGCAGGGGAATGACAGGACTTAATTCCCCTTTTAAAAAGTTTCCTCTGACTGTGGGACAAAGCTGGAAGCTGGGAGACAAGGGAGGAGGCCACTGTCACATTCCAGGCAGGTGAGGACGGTGGCTGTAAAGGCAGCAACAAGAATATGGATTCAGAACGTGTTCGGCAGTCGAGTCAACAGGATTTCTGATGAATGGGATGTGTGGGGTGAGGGAACAGGGGATCAAACGTGCTCTGTAGGTTTTGGCCTGAGCACCTGTTTGGGGGGAGGCACCATCTCCTGAGACAAGACCAGTGGGCAGGACCAGGGCTTAGGAGGGGCATGGGAGCCTCTGTCGTGCGATGTTTGAGAGATCTGTGTGACACCCACGTGGAGGTGGCAACCTGCCAGTTGGGCAAGGGACCCCGGAGCAGGAGCACAAGGGGGTTCCGGAAGCAGTGTCTCTGTTGCTACGGCAACTCCTTGCCGGGCCGGGGTTGACGGGGGTTCTGGGAAGGACTTACAGTGAGGGAGTTGTGACGTTGAAGGAGAAGCCTCTGGCAGATGGAGAGTGAAGGAACAGCATCTGGGGGAGGGAACAGCAGGGGCAAAGGCCTGGAGGCAAGGAAACGTCTAGTCTTTTCACGGAATGGTGCGGGAGGGGACCCCAGGGTAGGGGAGGGGACCCCAGGTTAGGAAGCCAAAAAAGCAGATCTTTCGAGGGGCTGCTTCCTTCAGTGAAGGAGGCCGGAAGGTGTCCTCAGGGCACTGGAGCGAATGGTGGGCAGGTGCAGACCGCAGAGGAAACGCGGCATCCACGTCTGGCCTTAGGTAGCACGGGATTGAAGCCCCCGCTCCCAGCATACACAGCACAACCCCTCTCCAAGTCAGCTGGGGCCTTTGCCAACCCAGCCAGTTTCTTGGAGAACTTACGCCATCGAACCAGGAGAACGACACAACCCTGCAGTGAGGGAGGCGGGGTGAAAAAAAAAAAATTCTGGAATCTTCAGTTTCTGGATTCCCATCATGTAGAAGGACCAGGAGGTCACTTCCCGGGACTGAGGGATAACGTAGGTGACCATGGCATGGTGGGGACCTCAGGTGTTTACAGGACCTTTGTAACCCTCCTCTGGGAAGAGGCGTGGGGACAACGGGTCTGGCCCTCGGACTTGGGGCTTGCCCTGTCCTCAGTTTGGCTCTGAGTTCAAGGCAGG